AGAGTGTAACACCTCTACAAACCAACATTCTACTTGGGAACTTTCAAAGATACGAACAAACCTGTCCGTATGTCCAGATGCCTGTTCGAATCGAGTCCTAAGTTCAACAGATGGCGGTAGTGCCATCTACATCTGCATAACGTGAAGAACCAGTGGCATCTGTATCTACAGGAGATTATACACCTTTTGAAGCCATTCCCCCTGTGTAGTGTACATGCCACGCAACACGTTTGAAATCGACAGGAGTAAAGTTGGACTTACGAACAAACCGACTTACGAACAGACCTCTGGACCTTAACTCGTTCGTAAGTAGAGGAGTCAATGTAGATTCAAAAACGATTTTTTCCCCCCCCTTTTATTTTATTCAACAAGACGGGGAATCCATTTCGGATGTCCCACAAAGCGATGCATCGCCCTTTCGTGCTAGAAAACGCAGCCACAGAAGCGGATATCACAGAGCTGCCTCTGAGATCCCTTCACGCAGTATGGGGCAGTACTGTCCCGGTCGCCTTGCCACTGAGAGCATCGTGTCGCACTCAACTCGATATCGTTATTCACATTAAGTGCAAAATCAAATGTCACGTAATGTTCGCGTGTGTGTGTGTGTGTGCAGATATGGGTGACCGGGATTAGACCATCGACTCACCACAACTTGAGAAACCCGGTTTAATCATGGGCAGGGCTGTGACCCGGAGTCTAACCCAGGTTGTAAGGTCGTACAGGCTCAGCGGAATGACCTCTGGAGCCCACCCGGCCACTTCTACCCCAACACCCAACACATTAACGGAGGACACCGTGGCGCTGAATAAAAAAAAACAGAGTGTATGATAGGTGACGTTTCACGCAGTGGCCCTTTGTCCCCAGCGCAAAGAGAGGCCATTGTTGTGAAGAAGGGCCATTGCCCGAAACGTCACCTGTTATATATTTTAAAATCTGAAGGTCACAGTGTTGTTATTAACGAATATGTTGAGTGCAATTGTTCATTGTGCACTGCTGCCATCGTAGTAGCAGCAGCAGCAGCACTATCACCAAATAATAAGTTTGATTTTAATTGATTCATAAAATAATGATGTATGATCATTCCGAATATGATAATACCTCTAAGAGGATTGTGTCAACTTTGGCTGTCGCCTGATGATGCTGGTTGTAATTACTGGCGAAACGTCGTACTCGAATTGCAAATGTTGTGGGTTCACTCTCCAACACACCGGTGTGCTGTGCTAGTGTAGCGACGTCGCTGGATGTCACCATGCTGCGGGTGTAGTACCGGCACTAGAGGGCCACGGTGTGCGCTGGATAATAGCGCTGGATGGCACCAGGCTGTAAGTGCAGTGTGTTGTATATACCGGGTATTTAAATATTGATGTAAATAATAAAAAAAAATAATTGAAGTTTGAACAAATGCGTAATTATCCGAAATTATGTTAATTGATGCAATTATGCGCGTAAATTATGCTAATTCGAGAAATAATCGTATTCAATTATGCGAATGTATGCGACTATGCTAATGCGAGCCATTGTTATAATTAGGCTTAGCTTCGTTGCCCAGGGTCGTATCATCAATCAGGATAAGACAATTAATTGTATGAAGTTATGCAGGTGTGATGTAAGTATGCTAGGTTAAGCTCGGCTTCATTGTCTAGGTTCGTATTATCGATCGGGATAATACAATTATTCTCGCTTTAACATTTACTGATTATGTATTAGTGTGTTTATGTCAGGTCTCCAAATTCAAATCTCACCGCAAGATACAGTTCTTAAAATTAATATTATTAAGCATGAACTTAGGAAAGAAACACTCAAACACTTCTGTGTTAAGCAATTTTAATTCTAAACAAAACCTTAACACACTAATATGCGAATTCTAATCCTTGAAATTGTCAACACAGTACTCCAGGAGATGTTCCCCTCATTGATCCATACATCTAACCCTCAATGATCACGTTTGTGAACTGGGTAACAGAACAATTGATTACTTCCTCAGAGTACGCGAGCATACACGGCGATAGGAACCAAAAGTCCTTAAAAATTCATGCAACGATATTCATACGAAAGGCAATAAAAGCAATTATTATACTCCAAAGGCAAAAGTATACGGTAATTAATTCACGAGCAAGATTACGTAATTGCGAAATGTCTTGGAATAAGGGTGTGTGGCAGTACGCCTGCTTCAGTAAATACTCATCAATTGGCTGAGGTTTCAATAAATTCACGGGCAGATTCTGTGATCAAAAGAAGGATTTCAACACAATATTCTCCCTGTGAGTGTGTGGATTCGTAACTCAGGTTTTTAAACGTTTAGTTTTCATCGATGAATTCGTGGATAATATTTATGCAAAGTCAAAAAGAAACATAACTACTAAAATACTTCTAAACGACCGTTTCCCCGTAACTCAATGGGCAGCAATGTTCTTCACGATCAGTTGATTTAATTGCACCACCTTGGAATGGCAACCCTTCTTGAAACACAAAGATAACTTTTTGGAACAATCTTATTTGTATTCTTAGCTCTTTCGGTAAAGTCACGTTGAAAGGGAAACAATAAAATAATAATGAATATATAAAAGCAATATATATATTATTTAATTGTTTCCCTTCAACGTGACTTTACCGAAAGAGCTAAGAATATGAATTACTGCAGTCACGAAAGCTTTCAATCAAAATCTCATTCGTCCCGATATGTGTGTCGTGTGTCTTCTTTGCACACTCGTGCAATTATTCGCGTTAAGCAGACGCCGAGCGATGCGTCGTGAGGGTGCGAGCGTGGGGGGAGGGTCGTGCTAAACGGCTTGGTTCTCTCTCTTGCTCGGGGGCGGCCACAGTTTCGGTCCACCGCTGGCTGCAGTTCCTCTTGTGTCTCGTCCCGGTTCCCAGCCGGCGCCGGTCGGCGCGCGTGCGCGTGGGTCGAACCCACGGCGCGCTCGCTGGCGCCGACGCTCTCGCTCGCTCGCTCGCGGGCGGGCGGCCGGTCGGGCTCTTTCCCCTGCTGGATGAGCCGAGCCGGCACAACGCTCGTCCGCTGGCAGCTGGCACCCTCGCTGGGTGGCGCCGGTGGCGCTGCTGCCGCGCTCTAACTACGCCAGTCACGTGGTGACGAGTGCAGTTAGCCGGGTGGTCACCACCTTAGGTTGTTATTCTGTTAAGGCGGAAGTAACCCCTGTGTGTTGGAAGTGAATAAACGCGATGCCTACAAAGTCTACGTGTGCGACTCAGTTGAACCCATTACACTAGTAACGAATTGGCACGTTTTGTGCACGTGACAACCCTTACTAATTGGCATGTGTCGGGTGGTGGCGTGTTTAACGACACGTTTATATTTACGCGATCTGTATTTTGGACTGGCTCTGTTGTAAAGGTCTTAATCGTACGTATGGGGTATTACACATACACACACACATACTTTGAATGCTGGAATCGTAAATGACACAATGCGTGTTCCAGGAAACTGCATAAAGTGTGATAAATTCAAATACAGGTGCCATAAAGTGTCCAATAAACCTGCGCCTGGTTACATGTCTCCGTTGTGCTTTCGCGTCATACCGCGGTGCTGGATCGGCGCAATATCCGACGATTTCGATCCACGTGCTGGGAGCTTCTTTAGAAATTCAGTTCTCAAAGAGTTCCACTTCTTGAATAACTAAACGATGAACTTTTAAACTAAATGTTGTTGTTTTTTATTAGCAGGTAAGGCCCGCGAAGCTGTATAGCTCTGTGTTTTTAGAAGCGATCTGCCAACAAATGAGAGCTCAACGAAGAGGGCTTATCACCATCGTGACGTGGACATTTATATCAGCCAAATACTTGAAACGCATGACCTCGATGCTCAATGTGGAGAGAAAAAACACGACCACGGGGAGATAGAGGGAGAAAGACGCAGACTCTAAATATACAACATGCATCGTCAGGGTCGAGGATCGAACCCACGACCTCCTGCATACCAGGCGAGGTAGTTAACATCAGCGGACGCTGATGTGACAGAGCTACAGTCTGTTTGATTATAACACGGCGGTAGTTGCCTTCATAAAGAACACTGCGCGATGGAAAAAGCGCGTTATAATAAATAACATATAATAATATTATACGTAATATTATTTATGCGTACGCAGGCTGAACAAAGACCTGAGGAGCATGGGGTAGCATCTAGAAACATCCAGCAGCATCCCGCCTTGTGCGACGATGCTACGCCGAGGCAGCCGTACACACCGGCGAATTCCTACTCGCAGCGACGTAGTTCCGCTCACCAAATCACGTTATATCCAATGAGCATCCGCGTTATAAAGAAATGTGTTCCCTATGTGGGGCGACAAAAGCCAGCTCACCTTGGATCCTCCACAGTGGATTGTCGAAAGGTTGAGCACTCGCACAGACGCTCCTCAATTCCTACACGATCGACCTTGCCCTGGCAACGCAAGCGGCCGTTTTCAGCAAAATCGAATCCGCTTTGAATCAAGACCCTTAACAGCATGGGGGAATAGTTCAGGACATCTCATGTGCCCCAATACAATCATCGCGTTATATCCAACTCGCGTTATAGGAGAACAGAACTGCACGTTCTGAGATCCCTACAAGGGACCTCTGATCCTACAAAGCAGGAGGCCATCACTTTACCCCCTCCCCCCCCCCAATCCCGCTCTGCCGCACGAGATGAATGCTCGTCACGTGACGGTCGAACCGACATTTTATTAATCAGAGCTGGAATTTAGCGTCAAATTAAGCGCAGAACCGCATATATCTATACATTTGATATATGCGCGCGATGGTTTCATGGCGTGTGCCGTTTCCGGTGAGGTGATTAACTCAGTCACACCCGAGGAACACGGTTTTAATCAGCCCGGCCTGGAATTTAAACCCTTGACCTCAGAAGATAGTGGCTCAACGGTTTTGACCACCTAGTCCTAAATCACCCCCCCCCTCCATCCGCCTGGGCCATTAAGCCGTAAAATGAATTGCGTTTGCCCAACGTTGCGAAACGTCCGCACAGCCGTCGGGGATTGGCCAGACCAGTCGCTATAAGACCCAACCAGCGAGCACATTCACATAATCAGACCCCCGTGGTGAGAACTTTCTGCAGTCCGCTGGTCGGGCTGTGCAAGAAAATAATATTCGTCTTGAACGAGAGCGAGCGAGCGTGTCTTAGTGTGTGCGTGCGTGTGCGCTTCGTCCTGAACATTTTGATTGGCAGAATGGGTCCCAGCTGGCTGGCCTTCCTTCTGCTCGGGCTGATCTGCTCGTCATATCTCGCAGTGTCCGGTGAGTCTCAATACTTGCAACCTCCCAACACGGCGACCTGCACGCACGCACGCATGTACTGATGTGCGTTGAACTTCTTTCGCACCGTACGTAGCCAACCGTGCTAATCGGCGGTGCGGGGGAAGGACAACAAATTAAACACAACAAGCAGTTCGTAAGAAATGAGTTTTCGATCTAAGAAATGAGTTTACAACCAGCATCATTAGCTTTGCTCGCTTTTCAGCTCTCCTCCAGGTTCTTTGCCGGTGAACAAAATTAAGTTGCACGTTTGCCCACTTTGACAACTTGATTGAATTGGCTCTGTCGGGCCTGTGCAGGGTTTTAGTAAAACATTTGCATCATAACTACACGATGACCTAACCCAAGAGAAACGAATTATGCATCCCAAAAGCATAGCGGATTGTAAACGTTCAAATCAGTCGGCACATTTACCACCCCACGACGTGACATCTCGATTTGATTGGCTGTTTTGGGTGGTGGAGTGGAGGGCTATAGTTAACTAATTGATATAATATACCGCGACACGATGATGGAGGCCAAAGTAGACCAATTGTAAATCACAAATGTCGGTCTCGGAAGTCTAGGAGTTCCATTTGCCCCGTACGGGGTAAAGTCGTCGCGTAACGCGTGTTCACACAACGCGTTTCCGCTATAGCGCGTTCATAATAATCTAAACGCTCATGCTCTTTTGAATGTTACCAGGTGTAAGGCCCACTGAGCTATGTGGCTCTTCATCAGAAGCGACCTGGCCATCACGAATTATGGCCCAACGAAGTGGATTTTTTTATCGTGTGGAAAAGTATTGCAGCCAAATACTCGAAACGCTTGTTGATTCTAAACACGGAGTTAAATAAAAAAAATTAACGCGACCATGGGTAGAGAGAGAGAGACATGCAAACTCCAAATATACAGCAGGCATCAGCATACCTGTTAACTTATGCGGTTTACTTTGTATTCTTGAGCAAGGACATTGAGTTTTCAGGTCCATACGGCGCACAGCCAGTTTCAATGCCTCTTATCAGTGCCCTACCTTATAACAAACCAATTCAGACTTTATTAGTCGCAAGGCGCCCCTTATAAATCTCAAAGTTCATCCTACAAAGTCACCGTCACAAGGGAGACACACAAACAAATAGACACATTTTTTTTGTGTGCCCGTATTGAAACGGCTGTACGCCGTATGGTCCTGAAAACTCAATTTAATAAACTTGTGATGGGCTGACAGCTGTGCAAGACCGTTGCCATGCAGTCAACATTGGGAGGGACCGAATCTTCCAGGGTGTCTGGGGGTCCCAACCCAGAAAAAAATATCTAAATTTGAAAACTAATTTCCTGCCTAAAATATATAAAAAAAAAATTCACTAACACGTGGGATGGACTTTTGATTTATTTCTTACAATAATGTCTAATAGTGTATATTGCATTACATTGCTCCGTTTTTTCTTCTTTCTTACCATTTCTTGTTTCATTGTATGTAATGGCAGAGATTAGGGATTAATAAAGTACAACCATAACCACAATCGTATAAACATAAATCAGAAATCCAGATATCGTGGCCAAGGTTTGGCAGATTGTTTATTTTTATTTACATAGCATAGCAATTATTTTTTTTAATAGCAATATATTGGGGGAGGGGGGGGACATTTTGAGCATATTTGAATATTGGGGGGGGGGGGGGATATGTCCCCCCCCCCCCCCAATATATTTTATAATTACGTCCTTACAGCTATGGATTCTCAAGGGGGTGAAGAGATTGTGGGGGCTGGGGGGGTGGGGGGTTAATATCCCCCATCGCCCCCGCACCCCGCCCACCTCTGAGTCAACGTTCGTTTTTCCCGCCTTTTTTACTCAGCGCGTGCGGCCGGTCTCCTGAGATACTTCAGGCAAACGCCGCGTCTCCCTTCAGTGAATCGTCCGTCTGTCTCTCCACTCGAAGAAATGCGCACAATAGTCGCTCTTTCCTCGCGAGGAATTCGTACAATCGTCGATCTTCGCTAACTATAAACACGTACGATGGTCGGTCGTTTCCCTCACGAGAAATGCATACAAGGGAATGCCAGCACATCGATTCACGTAAGCCTGGCTGCTGCTGATGAGAAACTGTGTGCTCGAAACCGCTCACGCCGAGAGATTCGCTTCTGCCCGAACCACAATTGCTGCTTTAAGTTAAAACGAAGCACTCCCCGAAAGGCATCGTCCTAATGGTTGCCGTTGGTTGTATAAAAAAAAATATATAAAATATATTTCGGCGCCGCGGTGGCTATGAGATGTTAACTACCTCGCCTGGTATACAGGAGGTCGTGGGTTTGATCCCGACCCTGACGCCTGCTGTATATTTGGAGTTTTCATGTCTCTCTCATCATCATCACAGTGGCTAGGAGATGTTAACTACCTCGCCTGGTGTACAGGATGTCGTAGGTTTGATCCCGACCCTGACGCCTGCTGCTGTATATTTGGAGTTTGTGTGTCTCTCTCATCATCATGGTAGCTATGCGATGTTAACTACCTCGCCTGGTGTACAGGAGGACGTAGGTTCGATCCCGACCCTGACGCCTGCTGCTGCTGCTGTATATTTGGAGTTTGTGTGTCTCTCTCTCTCATCATCACAGTGGCTATGAGATGTTAACTACCTCGCCTTGTGTACAGGAGGTCGTGGGTTCGATCCCGACCCTGACGCCTGCTGCTGCTGTATATTTGGAGTTTGCGTGTCTCTCTCCCCGTGGTTCGCGTGGGTTTTTCTCCGGGTTATCCGATTTCCCCACCCCCATCCTCCTCCACATCTAGAACCAACATCGCCACGCGTTTAGAGAATTTTGACTGCTGCTGTAAATTTCCCCGCGACGATGACGAAGACAATACACTTCCTTGAGCTCGCATCCGTGGCCAGGTCGTTTATGAGAAAGAGCTATAACGGCTAAGTGATCGTCACCTGATCAAATAAAAAAAAGGTAATAGTTTAGTTTTATATATTTTTACGTGGTAAATGATTACTACGTGTTCTATTGTGAGCGCTCCTCAATCTCAAATCCGTGACCGATTGTTTCAAGACTCAATAGTGACCCAAGGGCACAATAGACACACCGTTAGCAAAAAAATACGTGGTCTTGAATGACCTTCTTTGTTTACCCTTCGCATCATGTCTGGTGCCCCCCTCCCCCCCCTCACTCAAGTAAACATCTCAACGTGGGGACAACGTACTCTTTGGTTATTTTCGGTAAATCAAATCAAACAAATCACGACGTTGCGATCGCTACACAACAAAGCGGTCGTCCTTTTGCCCGATGACGACCGCTCGTTGTGTTGCGATCGAAACGTCGTGATTTGCTTGATTTTACTTCTACCCGCGTGACTTCACCGAAAAAACCAAGGAGTATGGATTCCTGCAGTCACGAAAGCTTCCAATCAAGAGCGGGGGGACAACGTTTGGATCTAGTTGGAACCGTTGCACCAACGTTCACATAGCTGTCAACCCCTTATCAGTGCCCTCTACCTTATTACAGACCAATTCAGACCTTATTGGTCACCCACGTGCCTCTTATCAATCTCAACACAGACGCATTTGTTGCCCGTATTGAAACGGCTGTGCGCAGTATGGGCCCAAAAACTAAATTTCTCTGTACAAAAATGCGGCGTAAACCATGTGGGTTGACAGGTGTGCGTTCGTTCCAACCGCATTGTATTGTAGCTATCATTTGTGCGAATGGAGCTACAAATAATCTTACCCTCTCTCACTACTGTCCGCTCTGCTCTTAAAAGCCACGTATTATTCTCTCTTGTTCACACCCTTCCGCATACAGTGAGGGAAAAAAGTATTTGATCCCCTGCTGATTTTGTACGTTTGCCCACTGACAAAGAAATGATCAGTCTATAATTTTAATGGTAGGTTTATTTGAACAGTGAGAGACAGGATAACAACAAAAATATCCAGAAAAACGAATGTCAAAAATGTTATAAATTGATTTGCATTTTAATGAGGGAAATAAGTATTTGACCCCCTCTCAATCTGAAAGATTTCTGGCTCCCAGGTGTCTTTTATACAGGTAACGAGCTGAGATTAGGAGCACACTCTTAAAGGGAGTGCTCCTAATCTCAGCTTGTTACCTGTATAAAAGACACTTGTCCACGGAAGCAATCAATCAGATTCCATACTCTCCACCATGGCCAAGACCAAAGAGCTCTCCAAGGATGTCAGGGACAAGATTGTAGACCTACACAAGGCTGGAATGGGCTACAAGACCATTGCCAAGCAGCTCGGTGAGAAGGTGACAACAGTTCGTGCGATTATTCGCAAATGGAAGAAACACAAAAGAACTGTCAATCTCCCTCGGCCTGGGGCTCCATACAAGATCTCATCTCGTGGAGTTGCAATGATCATGAGAACGGTGAGGAATCAGCCCAGAACTACACGGGAGGATCGTGTCAATGATCTCAAGGCAGCTGGGACCATAGTCACCAAGAAAACAATTGGTAACACACTACGCCGTGAAGGACTGAAATCTTGCAGCACCCGCAAGGCCCCCATGCTCAAGAAAGCACCAATACATGCCTGTCTAAAGTTTGTCAATGAACATCTGAATGATTCAGAGGACAACTGGGTGAAAGTGTTGTGGTCAGATGAGACCAAAATGGAGCTCTTTGGCATCAACTCAACTCGCCGTGTTTGGAGGAGGAGGAATGCTGCCTATGACCCCAAGAACACCATCCCCACCGTCAAACATGGAGGTGGAAACATTATGCTTTGGGGGTGTTTTTCTGCTAAGGGGACAGGACAACTTCACTGCATCAAAGGGACGATGGACGGGGCCATGTACCGTCAAATCTTGGGTGAGAACCTCCTTCCCTCAGCCAGGGCATTGAAAATGGGTCGTCGGGTATTCCAGCATGACAATGACCCAAAACACACGGCCAAGGCAACAAAGGAGTGGCTCAAGAAGAAGCACATTAAGGTCCTGGAGTGGCCTAGCCAGTCTCCAGACCTTAATCCCATAGAAAATCTGTGGAGGGAGCTGAAGGTTCGAGTTGCCAAACGTCAGCCTCGAAACCTTAATGACTTGGAGAAGATCTGCAAAGAGGAGTGGGACAAAATCCCTTCTGAGATGTGTGCAAACCTGGTGGCCAACTACAAGAAACGTCTGACGTCTGTGATTTCCAACAAGGGTTTTGCCACCAAGCACTAAGTCATGTTTTGCAGTGGGGTCAAATACTTATTTCCCTCATTAAAATGTAAATCAATTTATAACATTTTTGACATGCGTTTTTCTGGATATTTGTTGTTAATCTGTATCTTACTGTTCAAATAAACCTACCATTAAAATTAAAAACTGATCATTTCTTTGTCAGTGGGCAAACGTACAAAATCAGCAGGGGATCAAATACTTTTTTTCCCTCACTGAACCTGTCAACCCCTTATGAGTGCCTACCGCATTACAAACCAGTTCAGATCTTATTGGTCGCCCGTGCCTTTTCCATCCTTTTCCCGCTCGTTCCCCACTCTCTCTTTTTCTCTCTTCCCTCTCTCCCGTTTCTGTTTCAATTACCATGCGTTGTTACATCCTCGACTTCATCTACTCTCCTTCCCATGGTGTGGCCACGGGTACAACATTTTCTAGTCAATGATATTACTATAGGCATGTAGTAGCTAATGTTTTCTGACGGCTTCATATCATGTGTCGCCAAATGTACCAGTTTAGGTTAACCTGGTTATTACTCTAAATGGCATGTTTTTTTTAAACGTTATAACAATTTATGTATAGGCGCCTTGGATCAAAAAGTTGCCTTGAATGAAATAATGTTCTGATTGATGGAATGATCGTGTGACTTTATATTTATAATATCGTTGTTGTAATACATTTCGTAATCTTTGCAATTCTTTCCACAGCAACGAACGGTGAATCTCTTACATACTCAAATTCAAGAAATGGCACATCTAATCCAAATACAACAACGCCTGCTACCGTTTTATCTAACGTAACAATAGCGCCTCCCGCTCAATCTAACGTAACAATAACGCCTCCCGCTCAATCTAACGTAACAACAACGCCTCCCGCTCAATCCAACGTAACAATAACGCCTCCCGCTCAATCTAACGTAACAATAGCGCCTCCCGCTCAATCTAACGTAACAACAACGCCTCCCGCTCAATCTAACGTAACAATAACGCCTCCCGCTCAATCTAACGTAACAATAACGCCTCCCGCTCAATCTAACGTAACAACAACGCCTCCCGCTCAATCTAACGTAACAACAACGCCTCCCGCTCAATCTAACGTAACAACAACGCCTCCCGCTCAATCCAACGTAACAACAACGCCTCCCGCTCAATCTAACGTAACAATAACGCCTCCCGCTCAATCTAACGTAACAACAACGCCTCCAGCTCAATCCAACGTAACAACAACGCCTCCCGCTCAATCTAACGTAACAATAACGCCTCCCGCTCAATCCAACGTAACAACAACGCCTCCCGCTCAATCTAACGTAACAACAACGCCTCCCGCTCAATCTAACGTAACAATAACGCCTCCCGCTCAATCCAACGTAACAATAACGCCTCCCGCTCAATCTAACGTAACAACAACGCCTCCCGCTCAATCCAACGTAACAATAACGCCTCCCGCTCAATCTAACGTAACAATAACGCCTCCCGCTCAATCTAACGTAACAATAACGCCTCCCGCTCAATCCAACGTAACAATAACGCCTCCCGCTCAATCTAACGTAACAATAACGCCTCCCGCTCAATCTAACGTAACAATAACGCCTCCCGCTCAATCCAACGTAACAACAACGCCTCCCGCTCAATCTAACGTAACAATAACGCCGCCCGCTCAATCCAACGTAACAACAACGCCTACTGTCCCATCTAACGGAACAACACCGACTACAAAACCAACCACAAGTACAGCCCCTCCAACTGTGACTGGTGAGTGTATTGAACCATACTGCGTGTTGCTATTTGACTGTGATGTCACATGGGAAACGGTAGTGTAGCTGCGCTATGGATCCAGTGGCCCGCGTTCGATTCCCGCTCGCGACGGACACCAGTGGCGATTATCTTAACTGGTCCTGTGCCTCCCCTAGGTCGACTCAGCCTAAAATGAGTACCTGGTGTGGTGTGTTAACGTCACTACTAGGGAGGCAAAAAGGCCAGGTGTTGTGCTGGCCACCCACACCCTTTGTGTTCCAAGCCGGCCTTCATAGGTGCTCCGCTAACAGCTCTTGCCCCAGCTGTCTGTTCAGGCTATACGGGGGATCTTTGTCTTTGTGACATCACAGTGCAGCTCCGAGTGCGACTGCATGTGGCTGTGATTCACAACAACGCTTCACGCCACTGGTGGATATCAACCATCGGTGGAAACAGTAGTGGAAAAGGCCGGATGGCATCAGTCGGTGCCAGATGTTCCACTTGTAAGTTACCACCTGCATGACGGGGTGGCATAACTTATTAGCCGTTCCAGTTTGTCTGTGTGCTAAAAAAAAGTCAATTATGTCATGGCCGTTTACAACCAGTGGGGATGTGAAGTCAATCGTTTCTGATGGCCACGTAAATAATTGGGCAGATGGTTACGCTCACGGTCTCGATCATTTAACGCTGTTGGAGTGGGTGGGGCTCAACTCGTAGCTTTAGCCACCAGGGGATAGGAGGATTGTGGGCAAGGTATCCCCTGCCTGCCCCACGCTCGTTACACTCCTGGTGCTACTCAAGTTTGGCTAACGTAGGCGGTACCAATGTCTTTCTCTGGCCCGTGGACCAATCGGGAAACGGGTGCTTCAGTTGTACTTAAATGTCAAAAGTGAAATTTTAAATGAACTTGTGGTGCATCATTGCAACGCCTTAGCGCGCGTAAATCACATTGTTGCATATCCCGTTCGATTTTTAATTAGCATTAAGAAAGCGGATCGTGTAAATGACAAAACACCATTGTCAACAACAAAGACAAAGATCCCCCGTATAGCCCTAACAGACTGTTGGGGCAAGTGTTGTTAGCTCGCACCTAAACAACACACACAACAACAACAACAACCGCCATTCGCCACTAAGTGGCGGTGACGTCTCCACGGCGCTTGTGCCAGGCTAAGTGCACTTTAAAGCCACGTGAAAGTGTCGAACGCCCGCTGGCAGGAGGTCACGGGACAGACCCAGCAGATACCATGGGTTGACTGACTGAGATGACTGGCCGATGCACCCCCTGTGCCCCCTACACACACACACGCACGCGTTATTGATTACCCACGGCAAATAACATCGAGCAATAAAAGTAGTTGGGCCATAGTGTCGTTTTGATTTTTACCACACGTCATGTTCGTGTTGACGATACGAACTTTGTTCTCACGGCCGCAGACAATGCGAAGAAGACGTCACAAACAACCGCTATACGCAGTACAACCGCCTAATCTCCTCGCAGTCCTTCGCGGTACTCATATTCTTGGTTCTTTCGGTAAAGAATTGCGGACGGTGGATATGAATTCCTGCAGTCACGAAAGCTTAAAGTCAAGATTTTCGCGGTACCGTTGCCATCGATTTGACGTTGCGTGCGTGTTACAGACTCTGTTCCACCGGCGACCTCTGTGTCTGTACGTCGCGACGAGATGCGGTCGCACGTTCTCACGTGTTTTCAACGGTTTAAAAATAAAAAAAACTACCGCGGAATTCGAGTTTTTTTTCTTTTTGAAAGTTGCAAACACGGGCGGCGAGACCGCGAGCCTCTCTCGGCAAATGTGAAACAATTACACTTACAGAGTCATTACAATTAGCATTTATGTTAGCGTTGTACGGTAACATACCTCGATCTATTGCGCAGTAGATGCGTTCCTCGAGCTTGGTTCAAATGAAGCAATTGGCGGGACCCCGGGGTTACCATCACTGCTCCGGGGTGGGGAAAAACCGCGTAGCGACACGAGTCTTGTTAAGGCCTTACCGACAACAAAACTAGTGGTGGTCAATCGATTGGCCTCGTCGAGAGCTACTCGGGGCACTAAGTTTCGTAAAAAGTTGAAAAATTACACAAACACGTTAAATTCACCGCCTGGGGGGGGGGGGGGGGGCGGTGGTGGGGCTCGCCCTGGCAAAGGAGCTGAGGATCGACGGCTGACCGGAGGGCGGCGGACGCCCCCCGGGGCTTTCGTTTGGCCGGTGGGGGTGGCGCCCATCGTGTCGATCGTCGCCTGCTGGTGACGCTTGTTGGCGCGAGTCTGGGCGGGCGGCGCGTTGCTGGCGGGGTCACGAGTGGGGCGGACTGAAGAAAAATTAGAATTATTGAACTGATTTTTGCCAAATGATTCATATATTGAAACGTCGTATAGTGAGTAACAAATAACATTAGTCCTGTGAGGATGCGTTCCCAGCCTTGTAATTTGCAATTGCAGACTGCAAACACTTCGTAACTTACCATTCATATTGTAAACAAAGACAAGTTTTATTGCCTATAATATTACATGTTATCATGTACGGTATTCACATCTCAAACATAACTAAACGCAACATAGATTCGCAATGCTCAAAAATCCAAACAATTTTATTCTTTTTGATTTAAAGCTTCCGTGACTGCAGTAATTCATAATCTTAGTTTTTTCAGTAAAGTCACGTTGAAGAGAAACAACAAAATAATAAAATATATATAAAACAATAAATATAATTTTATTCTTATTTACATCACACAGTAGACCGGCAAATGTACTATTTAGTTATCTATTTAATTGTATTTAATTATAATTTTAGTTCTAGATTTGCGTGTAAAATAATGGCACAAAAAAAATCCAAAGTTCGTTTTGCTGACACTTAGTTTCTGTGTAAAACAATGGTAACAAATCCAAAAGCATCCAAGTTCCAGCCGATGTTTTTTGACGTACCTAGGTCCCATTAAAGACCACGGGTACCCTGGATGTTGAATGATGTTTGTGCGCGCGACAGAAAAGACTGCAATGGAGTGGCCATGACTGTTCTGACTCACCCACCCACCTATTCACTCACCCACTCACTAACTCACCCACCTATTCACTCACCCACTCACTAACCCATCCACCTATCCACTCACCCACTCACTAACTCACCCATCTATCCACTCACCCACTCATTCACTAACTCACCCATCTATCCACTCACCCACTCATTCACTAACCCACTTATCCACTTATTCACTAACCCACCCACCTATCCACTCACCCACTCATTCACTAACTCACACATCTATACACTCACCCACTCATTCACTAACTCACCCACCTATTCACTCACCCACTCATTCACTAACTCACCCATCTATCCACTCACCCACTCATTCACTAACCCACTTATCCACTTATTCACTAACCCACCCACCTATCCACTCACCGACTCATTCACGAACCCACCCACCTATCCACTCATTCACTAACTCACCCACCTATTCACTCATCCACTCATTCACTAACTCACCCATCTATCCACTCACCCACTCATTCACTAACCCACGTATTCACTTATTCACTAACCCACCCACCTATCCACTCATTCACTAACCCACTCATTCACTAACCCACCCACCTATCCACTCATTCACTAACCCACCCACCAATCCACTTATTCACTAACCCACCCACCTATCCACTCACCCGCTCATTCACTAACCCACCCACCCACCTATCCACTCATTCACTAACCCACTCATTCACTAACCCACTAATTCACTAACCCACCCACCCACGGAACGCACCCTTGTAGGGTTGTTTAAAAATGTATTGTGTTTAGTTTGTTGTCCTTCTCCCGCACCTCCGATTAGCACGGACGGCTACGTACGATGCAAAAGAAATTCAACGCACGTACGCACAATAATCCGCAGACGCGTCACGATGTTGCTCCTTGTTTCCCACACGTTCAGATTTCGACGAATGCGCCCTGCCAACGGCTTGTCCAGCGCTGGCAAAGTGCATCAACAGCATGGGCTCGTACCGCTGCGAGTGTCCAATCGGCTACTTCTTGAAAGAAGATGGAAGCAGCTGCAATCTGGGTAAGAGCTTTGCCCCCCCATCCGTGTCGTCACTCATTGCACTGCAATTCCCACCCACCTCGGTCTATCGGCTCCGGCATGCAACGCCATCGCCGTCATCATCATCATCATCGCCATCGCCGTCGTCAGCATCGGTAGCCGTGGTCGCTGGCCACTTCTTGGCAATTCAATCCACCCAGGGCCTTCCCAGGTCATCGGTCATTTCTCACGGGTCCCTAGATAACGTGGTCGATTGTATTATTATTATTGCTCCTGCGCACGAGCTGATTTCACCGCTCCAGCTCACGAGGCGGATCATTGTCCTATCCGGAAACGCGTTCCATCATCGCACGAAACTCCGGTCATCCTTGCACCAGCAGCGGCGGCTTTTGGCTGCTTGCCGTCGAAGACAGACGGCGGTCACAGCATCGCGCGGCGCTTTCAGATGCGCTTCTGCGGCCGTCTGGAACGCTCTTCCCTTCCGATATTAGGAAGCCACTGGAACTGTGCACCTTTAAAGCATCATCTAGATTGACAAACTCATTTCTTTAGAACTGCTTTTTGTGTTTTAGTTTGTTGCCTTTCCCCCGCACCTCCGATTAGCACGGTACGAAATAAGTTCAACATACAAGAATACATCTTGTAAATACTTCACAATGCTTTGTTCAACTGTGATGACAGTTCACACGGGAATTGCCAGATGTTATCACTCCCGCTCCACAAACTTTCAGTTAGTTTCTATTTACGTTTATAATTGAGCAAAAACTAAACATGATGATGTGAAGAACGCTTATATATTACCGTACTCTCCAGGTTATAAGATCCTTTGGAAAGTAAGTCGCGCCCCAAACGTATACCCAGTGTCAAATACAGTAATAAGATAAATCTGACCAAAGACAAATATCCCCCGTGTAGCCTTAACAGATTGTTGGGGCAGGTGCTGTTAACGTGCACTTATGAAGGGCCGGCACGGCACACGAGGGGGTGGGTGGCCAGCACCACGCTCGGCCGCCTTTGTCTCCCCAGTGGCGATGTTTACTACACACCGCACCAGGTACTCATTTGAGTCGACCTAGGGGAGGCCCAGGACCGGTTCAGGTAATCGTCACTGGGTGTTGGCCGTGATCGGGACTCGAACCCGTGTCTCCGGGTTCGTAGCGCAATTTAGCGCTAACCGCTACACCACCGCTCCCCAAATCTGGCCACGCACGGACACACGCACAAAAAAAAAGCTCAAGACATTTATCAATAACACCGCGGCCATGAAATAAAAAAATGTATAATGGGTGACGTTTCAGGCAATGGGCCTTCTTCAGAGTACATGAATAGAGAGGCCAGAGTCAATGAGGGTTGGGTTACTGCGGCAGTAGGTAATAAATAAATCAAATGAAACAAAAAATGAAAATGATTTAATTGAGTTGTTTTCATTTTTGTTTTACTTAATTTATTTTTAGATTTATTTTTTTACCTACGTGACTTTACCGAAAGAACCAAAGAGTATGGATCCTTGCAGTCACGAAAGCTTCAAATCTAGAATTATAGACACACGTGTTGAATTGTTGATGATGTTGGCTGTGCTTGTGCACCACTGCGAGCATTAGCAGTGGTAGCATCACCAAATCACCGAATAAAAAAAATGTTAATAACAAATTACAATATGTACCCCGTCACTTCGGATTTAATTACTGGGTTAAAAAAATAGGCATCTGATAATCCGGAAAATAGCATAATACAATTAAGTGCAACCTGTCAACATGTTAATCTCAGACGTGTATTCTGTTTGCATTGTCCCTGATCTTCTTCACAGCCAAGACTTTTCCATCTCTCCTGCACATAACGGAGGAAAATTTTACTTCTCAAATGGAAGACAAAAGCTCAAGCGAATTTAAAAGGGTTTCCCTTCTTATTTTGAATGTGGTAAGGAGCAAAGATAGAAAATGTATAATCCGTTTTATAAAAATAAAGAAACCCATTAAGAGAAGGCACGGAACAATTTTTACGTTCTGTAAATCCGACGGTGGCTAGGAGATGTTAACTACCTCGCCTGATATACAGGAGGTCGTGTGAATCGATCCCGACCCTGACGCATGCTGCTGTATAGTTGGTGGCGTGGATTTTTCTCACGGGTCCTCCGATTTTTTCCCCCCTCCACATTTAGAATGAACGTCACGCGTTTAGAGTGTTTGGTTGCTGCTGCTGTATATTTCCACGTAATGATGATAACAAGCTGCCACACTTCCTCGAGTTATCATTCGTGATAGCCAGGTCGTTTCTAGAACAATAGCTACTGTACATAGCAGCATCAGGGGGCTTTTACGCGGTTAAAATAAAAAAAACTATTTTTTCAATGGTTCAGTATATTTTTCAAGTAGTGGTACCCCAAACTTTCGCAGCTTAAAATCCCCTTTTTACACTACCAGCATCTGCACGCTGCCGTGCCACCTCGCCAGCCTGCACAGGTCGACCCCCTCCCTACCTTTCATCATGCTAAGTCCGCCTATTAAAATGCAATTTTTTTATGCTAATTCCTTTGTCAAGGCACCTTGATTACTCTCACACAGCTTAAAGGTCGCGGTCTGAGCTTGGCTGTGTTTCACTCCAGCGCTGTCCTTGAGATAGTCTGGTCCCTTCACCTGATGAAGGCCGCTTGTATTGTGGCCGAAACCTCGTGATTTTTGTTTTATTTTTTAACCTACGTGACTTTACCGAATAGAACCAAAGAGTATAAAAAAATGGTTAAAATATTTAAATTCCCCATTGCTATCAGCATCCTCACCACTACCGATGCACTGCTGTGCGAGAGTGGACACATTGTCTCGTCACGTAGCACCAGCAGCACATTTGGGATACAACGGAACGAATTGGCTACGTTTTGTTTACGTGACAAACCCCTTACTAACTGGCTGTGTTGGGTGGTGGCGGGTTTTAACGACACATTTATATTGACGCGATGTAACCCAAAAAAACCTCGATTATGCACAATCTATGTATATATATTTTTTCTCTTCCAGATTTCAAATGCGTTGACAAACACTTCAGGCTACCTTGGCTCTGAAGTCATTAGGCTGAGGTGAGTGAGACAGGTGGTTTCTCAATAAATTGCCCAGTCCTGATGTCTTCTTAGTTGATCGGACTATTCCTTTATTATTACGCATTCCGGAGTATTTTCCCATGAGGTCATGTTAAATTTCCAGAGTCGGGGGCGACACTGTTGCTCTGCGTACTGTAGACACGTGCGTTTTAGAGTATGTGGCTGCTATAATGAATGGGCGCCACGGTGGCTATGAGATGTTAAATCCCTCGCCCGGTGTGCAGGAGGTCGTGGGTTCGATCCCCAACCCTGACACCTGCTGTATATTCGGTATTTGCGCGTTTACCCGTGGTAGCGTGGATTTTCCTCCGGGTTCACCGGCTATTCCCCTCCAAGGTTAGAATCCACGCGCGTTTAGAGCATCTGGCTGCTTTTCATTTCTACGTGATGATAAGCCGCTTCGTTGAGCTCTCATTTGTGATAGGAAGGTCGTTTTTGAAACATAACTAATAGCTCAGTAGGCTTTACGTGGTAAACTAAAAATGTTTAGTTTATTTATTTGTCATTATTTGCTTCCCTCTCCTATATTTTGCGCTCCTATCGTTCTTTTTGTGATTGCTGTTGTAACTTTTTTGAGCCGCCCCCGACTGGACATCAGTAAAAAAAAAAAAATTGAGCTTCACAGCTTATCGGATTTCTCCAGGATAAATACAAACGCTGTCACCCAAAGATTCTGAATTTTAAAAAAAATCGAGTAACTTGCAGGCAATTTCTTTCGGCTTACGGGATTGTTTGGCCAATACCGGTCATGTTGTAAATGTTTAGTGATGGGAGTAAACCCGGTGGAAACCCACGGAGAACAGGAAGGCGGCCGAGTCGGCAATCGAACTGGGGGCATTGTTGCTGTGAGGCTCCAGCCGTTACTGTTGATTCCACACTTGGGTACAATCCACTGCCGGATGAAGGCCTTCCAGATTTTCGAATCTAGGCCCCCGAATGTGTTTCCTTAAACAGATGTTGCCAGGTGTTTAACAGCCAGAGGGTGTGTCCTCTGGTCTAACACCGTTTTGAGACGAGGCTCAAAAGAAAGCTGTCTCTGGTGTGGGACCAATCAGTTTCAGAGTGTGTTTTTTTTGTTTGCATTCTGACCACAAGTATTGTGGTCAACGCAGACATGATTCCTTGTAAAAGATTTCAGTTTAGGTGTTCGAACATCTTAACGCAGCTGTTTTGTTGCCAGAAAAAAAAGGGGAAAAATCTATTCTCAGTGTAGACGGTACGTAAGCCGATTGACAAACATAAAAATTTATGTAAAGCTGAAAAAAAATATTCTATTCACGGTCATATCTATCCATTTGATTGGTGTTACTGCAAATATTTGATCCAAGTTGCTCGCTGGTGATTGATTTGTCACTGAATATAATTCTGGGTCGCTGGTGGACCGGAGTAGGTGGAACATGCGCTGATTCAGCCGTAGCGGGAGGCTCGCTTGATGTGGTGTGCCGGGAAAGCGACTGAAACTTGAGCCATGTCATTTCTGTAACACCTTCCTGTGATGCGTGTGATGTGTGTGATGTCTGTGATGCGTGTGATGCGTGTGATGCGTTGGATGTGTGATGTTTGTGATGCGTGTGATGCGTGTGATGCGTTGGATGTGTGATGCGTTGGATGTGTGTGATGCGTGGTGTGTGATGCGTGTGATGTGTGTGATGCGTGGTGTGTGATGCGTGTGATGTGTGCTGTGTGATGTGTTTGCGCTTTTAGACCGGGAAGCGTGATTGCGGACGTTTCGAACATGTACCAGACAACCTCTCCAATTACGAAAGAACAAGTTGATAATGAAGTGGAAAATGCTCTTGAAAGCTGCAACCAACTCTCAGGAGGATGTCTAGGTTGGACTTCAGAAAGTAAGTAGCCGAGTATCACGAAGCGGTGAGACCCTTGAGCCGCCAACTTCCACTTCACTCGGTTTCATTTCATTTATTTAGTTCCATTTATTTGGTATAGCCCTGTGAGCCATTCGGCTCTTGAATCGGGTGCAACCGCAACAAACAAAAAACACGAACAACAAGAAAAACATCTTAAAGTGACTATGCGCAAACAGAAAAATCCAGGAAAAAGAAAACAGCAAAAATCTTCCACAAAAAGCACCGTGTACACCAACGCTCTGTGCAAAAAAATCCCACTGGGATGCAAGTCAAACCAACAACAACAACAACCACAAGACAACTTAGACTAAAGCCATCATTCTAACTCCGTACTACAACAAAAAATTACATGGACAAACCAAAAAAAACTTTTCGCCGTAAAAGCATTGAGTGGGGTGCATGCGTGCGAGTGGGTGTGCGTGTGTTGCATGGGTGTGTGCCGCGCGACAAAACAAGCGCAGTGGGTGGGTGGACCTGTGCCCTCTACCGTGACTCGATAGCTCAGCGGGGAGCGCGCTGCGCTACGAACCTGGCTACCCGGGCTCGATTCCAGCTCACGGCCACCAACACCCAGTGACCATTGTCTGAACCGGTCCTGGGCCTCCTCACCCCTAGGTCGACTCAGCCTCGAATGAGTACCCGGTGCGGTGTGTGAAAACATCGCCACAAGGGGAGACAAAGGCGGCCGGGCGCGGTGTTGGCCGCTCACCCCCTCGTGTGCCGTGCCGGTCTTCATTTGGTGCTGCTCGCTAACAGCACTTGCCCCAAAAAGTCGATCAAGGCTCGGTTTGGTTTGGAAATTTTTTGCATTTATCTTTGTGCGGACCGGTAGTTGTAGTGGTTAGCGTCCTGCACCTGAACCCAGCGGGGTATCTTTGTCTTTGTGACACAACCCCACACACCACCATCACCACACTGGAGGAATCCAGTTTGACTCTCACTCAAGGTAAAGGCGCAGTGCCTCCCCACGCAAGTGCCCGCTCACGCCACCGCCGGCGGACGGGGCCTCCGCTAAGAGGGATCCCACGTTGGATAGGAGATGTTAACTACCTCGCCTGGTATACAGGAGGTCGTGGGTTCGATCCCGACCCTGACACCTGCTGCTGTGTATTTGAAGTTTGCGTGTCTCTCTCTATCCACGAGGTCGCGTGGATTTGTCTCCGGGTCCTCCGGGGTTATCCCTTCACGTTTAGAATCAACGTCGCGCGTTTAGAGTATTTGGCTGCTATTAATTTCCACGCGATAAGCCGCTTCCTTTAGCTGTCATTTGTGATGGCCAGGTTGCTTCTGGAAAAGAGCTACATAGCTCAGTGGACCTTGCCTGGTAAAATAAAAAATAATTACATTTAATTTAAAATTTACACTTTCACAACTGCCCAGACGCCTTGGAAGGGGGGGGGGGGTGAGAGTTACCCACATTTCACCCCACCACACGCGACCTTGCCGATTAACTCGCTAGCTGGGCCGTAACTCATTTACACTTCTGGGTGGACAGAGCCAAGTGGGGGCGGAGGAGGAGCAGGGGGGGGGGGGGGGGGGGCGGCTGCGTGTGGATTTAACTCCCGCGCCGGGAGATCGACCCAGGCCGGCGGCGACCTCTGGATCGCAACCCCTGACGCGCTGCTGACCTTTGACACCACCGGAGCCTAATGAAGGCTGGCGCGACGGCTCGCAAGGAGCTGCTGTGTAGCTCTTTTATCAGAAGCCACCTTGGTCATCACAAATTATAGCTCAACGAAGTGGGCTTATCATCATCATCATCCTCCCGTGAAAATGTATAGCAGGAGGCAAATCCTCCTGCGTACCAGGCGAGGTAGTTAGCATCTCCTAGCCACCGTGATGTTGATGATGATGTGAGAGAGACAGAGACACGCAAACTCCAAATATACAGCAGCAGGCGTCGGGGTCAGGATCGAACCCACGACGTCCTGCGTACCAGGCGATGTAGTTAACATCTCCTAGCCACCGTGGCGCAGTGAGTCCTGCTCTGTCGCGACTGACTGTCCACGCCTCCTCTGGAATTTCCTTCCAGACACCAATCTGTGCGACGTCAACCCGTGCCTCGACACGTTTTCCACGTGCACGGAAGTCGGGCAGGGCTTCGCGACGTGCACCTGCCTGCCCGGATACGTGAAGTCGGAGTTCGGGGACATCTGCACGGGTAAGCGCGACTCGAGCACGACCCACCGTGCTTTGCGTATCGTCCCCTCTTGTGTTTCTCTTTGTTTGATGTCATCTTCCTCGCCTGGTATGCAGGAGGGTCGTGGGTTCGATCCCGACCCTGACGATGCCTGCTGCTGTATATTTGGAGTTTGCGTGTGTGTCTCTCTCTCTCTCTCCCCAATGGTTGCGTGGATTTTTTTTTCCCCTCCGGGTGCTCCGGGTTTTCCCTCCACATTAGAGCACATGCATTGAGATTGTTTAGATGATTTTGGCTGCTGTAAATGTCCAAATGACGGGCCACTTTGTTGAGCTATCGTTTGTATTTGTGGCCAGGTCACTTTATAAAAAAATGTGTTAATACCTCAGTGGGCTTTGCCTGGTAGGATGAGGATGGTTTAGTTTCACTTGTATGTGTTTGGGGTGACTTCTTTAACTTTCGTGTACTTTGCACTCCTATTGTGTATTTGTATTGTTTGTCGTCGTTGTAACGTTCTTACCCAGTGCCCCTACTGGACATCTGTTGAAAAGAGCTTTATAGCTCATCGGATTCCTACGTGCGTTCCGTAAACACAACACAGAAGAATCAGGGTTAGGGGTTAGCGTACTACACGGAATGAGAATTTTTTTTAAAAAAATTTTGCTGGAGGAATCCGATGAGCTATAAAGCTCTTTTTCACGGGCGTCCAATGGGCGCGGGTAAGGACGCTACGCAGGGGCGGGTAGGAACGTTACTCGTCGGGATGCATTTTGGCACGTTGCGTTGCCGAGTTTACCATCGGGATGAACGGAGGCGGCTGGGCGGTTTCATCGGTCACTGCGCCTATGAGAGCCCCGGGTTCAAATCGAGGTCACAGCCGCCTGCGATTGAACCCGGGTCTGTATGTTGAACTTATTTGTCATCGTGGTCAACCGCGCTCATCGCAGGTGAGGTATTTTTTTTTGTTGACGTGCAGCAAGTTGACGGTCTCGGGTTGGTCGCCCTACGCCCGCACTCAAAACCCGCAATGTTCAATTCGAATTTTTAAAAAAAATATATACATACAAAAAATGCGTATAAATATGTACGCGTGTTGAATGAGCTCCTTTCGCGCCGTGCGCGCTCAAACCAGCCTATCGGCGGTGCGGGGGAAGGACAACAAACGGAACACCGCATCGACCGCCACGCCGCACGTGGGAAAGTACACTGGAAGGGATATCACAAAACGCAGTTCCATGATATCAACTTCTGCGGGACCATTCTCTTAACGTGGCCAAATTCCAACGCTGGGAATTTAACACGTCGGGTTTGGCTGTCGTGCGGTAAACATTGCGCTGGTACGTGGAGTTTGGTTATGAAAGGAAATGAAAGAGATTTAGATAGTGCAAAAAAGGACAGGGGTGGAGTGAGACATTTGGTAAAGGGAAGTTTATTTTATTCTGCTGTGATTTGGCGAATGGGTTCATCCGTGGACCGCTCTTGGTCCTGTGAGTTCAATCCAATCGAACAACTCAGCAAATTAACGGTCGTGATGCGAAGATCTGTTTCACCGTCTGTCAAATGAAAAACACTGATCGTTCTATTTTCTCTCTCTCTCTTTTTAAGTTTGTTCCATTGGCTTCAGGGCGGAAGAAGGAGTATGCGTCAAGTAAGTTTGCATTCCGCACACCGCTACATGGACACGCGTAGGGCCAGGGGCGTGCTCAATGGGCAGGGCGCTCCAGAGCGCATTTCTATTGAACGTCGTCCAAACTCAGTGGCTCTTAACCTGGGGGTGTATCTCGCACCCGCTGTAAATAGCAGTCACGCAGCGGCGGTCTTTAAAGAGCCCCACGTGGCATGGGAGCCGCAGGTTGCCGACCCCTGCCCATGGTGAACTGGACTTCCATGGTAAACTGGACTCCCATGGTGAACTGGACTCCCATGGTAAACTGGACTCCCATGGTGAACTGGACTTCCATGGTGAACTGGACTCCCATGGTGAACTGGACTCCCATGGTGAACTGGACTCCCATGGTAAACTGGACTCCCATGGTGAATTGGACTCCCATGGTGAACTGGACTCCCATGGTAAATTGGACTTCCATGGTGAACTGAACTCCCATAGTGAACTGGACTCCCATGGTGAACTGGACTCCCATGGTGAATTGGACTCCCATGGTGAACTGGACTCCCATGGTAAATTGGACTTCCATGGTGAACTGGACTCCCATAGTGAACTGGACTCCCATGGTGAATTGGACTCCCATGGTGAACTGGACTCCCATGGTAAATTGGACTTCCATGGTGAACTGGACTCCCATAGTGAACTGGACTCCCATGGTGAATTGGACTCCCATGGTGAACTGGACTCCCATGGTAAACTGGACTCCCATGGTAAACTGGACTCCCATGGTGAATTGGACTCCCATGGTAAACTGGACTCCCATGGTCAGGGGTCGGCAAACCAAAACAACAAGAAGAGCCACTTTGTTGTTGTTAACGAACGCCCAAGAGGCGGGCCACTGCGGTCCCTTAAAGAGCCACACAACGCGCGGCTCTTGAGACACGCGCGGGCTTGGTGACCCCCCTGTCTGTGGACACAATATTTGTGTCTGTGTGAGAGTCACCTTCTCTCCTCTCGGCGTGAACATCGATCGCTCATGCTAGTGGTGGGGGTGGGGAGGGTGGTGTGGGGGTGGCGTGCGTGGTTCGAGACCCTCGCGGCCGCCCTGGTTAATGCTGCGGGTGGAGAAACGGTCACGGCTTTTTGGTGGGGGGGGGGGATTGGGATGCGTCCATCCATCGGTGGACAGGTCGCGACCGATGATAGCCCTGTCGCTGTGTGTGTGTGGCTTACCTGCGGAGTGCAGATGCGAAGGCCAGGCCACTGGAATCAACTGCTTGGACTGCCCAGACGGCTACACAAATGAGAACGGAGTGTGCAAAGAGTGAGTCCCATCGCACCTTTGTTGGGTGGGGGGTAGCCACGTCGCTGTCTTAAACACCGGACAGAGTAAACCGGCCGTGTGGAGTTGCAACGCGTCTCACGGCCACTCGTCTCACTCTCTCGCTTTTCGGAGAAGAATTGCACGGCTGCGCCTTTAACCCCCCCCCCCTCCCCCACAACTATTCCCTCGCCACCCATTTGCCTTGTCCGCCGTGAGTGCTAACGCAGTAATGTTTCATCCGCCACAGATGTTCCTTTGGATACAGTGGGAAGAAATGCCAAGAACGTGAGTAGATCACACAATGAAAACAACAGATGCATCATCACCACCATCATCATCATCACCGTCATCACCATCATCATCACCATTATCACCATCACTACCATCATCACCATCATCATCACCATTATCACCATCATCATCACCATTATCACCATCATCATCACCATTATCACCATCACTACCATCATCACCATCATCATCACCATCATCACCATCATCCGCCTGCTCGATCAATCACCATCGGGCCATGCTCAATCGACTGCTGGATGAAGGTCTCCCCAAACTGCCGCCACCATTTCTCACGACGCTGCGGATGTAATAATTCAGAATGTAAAATTGTATTCATCCTGGAGAAATCCGACGGGCTATGAAGCTCTTTTTTTCACGGATTCTCCGGCACCTGCGTGTCGAGCCAACTGCCTCGCTCGCTGATCTCCGCGGAACGCCGCTCCGTTCCTCGGCTGCCACTCCGTCATTTCCCTCGACCATTGGCCATCATCCCTTCGAGCCGTGACAAATCCTGCCCAACCTCCCGCTTACTTCCCCCAAACAGTCTTGATGCTCGCCGCGATGGCTAGGAGATGTTGACTCGCTCGCCTGGTATACAGGAGGTCGTGGGTTCGATCCCAACCCTGACGCCTACTGCATATTTGGAGTTTGCGTGTCTCTCTCTCTCTCTCTCCCCGTGGTCGCGTGGATTTTTCTCCGGGTCCTCCGGTTTTCCCCTCCGCATTTAGAATCAACATCACCACGCGTTTAGAGTATTTGTGGCTGCTGTAAATGTCTACACGATGATGATGATGCTGATAAGCCCACTTCGTTGAGCTATCATCCGTAATTGCCAGGTCGTTTCTGGGAAAAAACAGAGCTACGTAGCTCAGTGGGCCTTACCTAGTAAAATTAAAAAATATATAGTTTCATTGAGTATTTAAGTTACTCTTTCACAACTAGCCAGACGTCTTGGAAGTGTGTGGGGAGTTACCCACACTTTACCCCACCACACGACACCTTGACCGTGAAATATCACGCCCCTCCCCACCCCCGTCAAGAACCGCGTTACAATCGGTACCTACCATCGCGCCGTATCGCACCGTGAGACGTGACACTACGGCATCTGTCCGTCGGTGCGTGCAGCCTTCCTGCTCGTGGTGGTGGTGGTGTCGACCATCGGAGGAGCGGCCCTCATCGCGCTCATCACCGCCGTCATCGTCCTGAGCGTCCGGTGAGTCGAGGCGCCCCCTCCTCCTCCCACCCTCTCTCTCTCTCCGTGGTGCAGGCAGGAGGCGGTGGCGTACCGGGCGTGGTTGGTGGGGGAGGCATTCAGAGAGTGCCTTGGCTCCCCTCTCCCCTCAACAACAAGTGTCAAACAACAACAACAACTTGACTTAAAGCTTTCGTGACTGCAGGAATTCATATTCTTTGGGTCTTTTGGTAAAGTCACGTAGATACGTTCAAATTAATAAAAAATAAAATCTCTCGTCATCATCATCATCATCACGGTGGCTAGGAGATATTAATACCAGGCGAGGTAGTTTTTGGTTAATTCTAATTTGTATTCATTTGAACCTATCTAACGTGACTTTTACCCGAAGACGGAGCGCCCCCTTACAGCGTTAAATGTTCGAGACCGTGAGCGTAACGACGACGATGTGGATTAGGGCGATCGGGGCCGCTGCGATACACACAACAGCCTCTAGGTGCTACCGTGCGAAGAGACAAATCACAATGCTGGAGGCCCCACCAGACTGATTGCCGTACCCCCCCCCCCACCCCGAGCAGATTATAATGTCGTTACTACACCACTGTTCGGAGGTCGTGGGGTTCAATGCCTACCCTGAGTCCTGACCCCTGTATGTGTCGAGTTTGCGTGTCTGTTTCTCTCTCTCTCTCTTTCTCCGTGCTCGCGTGGATTGGTTTTTTTTTTGCCTCCGCGTCCTCCAGGTTTTGACCCCCTCCACGTTTAGGAATCGGCGCCGCGCGTTTCTCGGCAGGAGGTCGGCGGCCTGCGGGTCCGGAGCCGCGTGGCCCGCGGCTCTTTTGAGGCTTCCCGAACTCGCGCCTCTTTGTCCGCTGCAGCCGTTTTTAAAAAAAAAAATAAACGAACCGATTAAATTGACTCCGTTGGGTTCCTTACAACTCTTAAAGTGTGGACATCGCCTTGCTGTGGAGCACCTTGGGTGAAGGAAAAAGACAATCGAGACTGCGTCTCCCCGTGTGAATATTTGTTGTTGTTGTTGTTGTTTTTTTTAAATACAGTTCCAAAAAAACACCGAAACTCAGGCACGAGTTTTAAATGGATTTTTGTTTGCGTTTATTTTTTTCTTTCCTCTCAGGAAGCATGCCACGAAAGGGGGTGACTTAACGAGCTCTTCGAATTTCCGCATCTCGTACCGAGCGCACTCCAAGTCGCTCCGCTCGCACGTCAGCGACGTACGGTGATGCACCACGATACTCGCCGCATCTCACGCACGCGCGCGTGCACGCAAAACAAAGACAAGGATCCTCCCCCCCACGTGTTGTGGCCTTAACGCACCGTCGGGGCAAGTGCTGTTGGCGAGCAACACGTTCGACAGACGGATGTGTGGAGGACGGCAGAGCTCGGGCAAGCCGTTGATAGTTCCCCGGCGATTGTGAAAGATGCACTTTGCATGAAGGACGACATCAAATTAACATCGTTATTATTATTCTTTTTTTATACCGTTTAATGCCAATAGAGATCAGAAGTCAGTTACTTGTTTATCTCTCAAATGAGCATTCAGAAAGACAAAGATCTCCCGTGTAGCCTTAACAGACTCTTGGGGCAAGTGCTGCTAGCGAGCAGCAGCTATGAAGGCCGGCACGGCACACAAAGCGAGTGGGTGGCCAGCACCACGCCCGACCACCTTTGTCTCCCTAGTGGTGGTGCTTACCCGACACACCGGGTACTCATTTGAGGCTGAGTCCACCTAAGGGAAGGCCCAGGACCGGTTCAGACAATCGTCACCGGTGTTGACCGTGAGCGGGAATCGAACCCGGGTCGCCAGGTTCGGAGTGCAGCGTAGCACTAACCGCTGCACCACCGCTCCACACACACGGGCGGCCGTTCCGTACAGCGAGCGACGCTTTTCGTACGTATGTCTGACGGACTTCTTTCGCACCGTACGTAGCAAAACCAACCGTGCCTGTCGGAGGGGCCGCGGGAAGGAGAACAAACTAAGAAAGCAGACCTAGCGAAATGAGTTTGTCAAATCTAGACGATTGAAAAGTGCATCGCTCCAGCGGCCTGCTAATATCGGGAGTAAGAGCGGCGTTCCAGACGGCCGCAGAAGCGCATCCCCGAAAGCACGGCCCCAATGCGGTGCCACCACCGTCTCTGTTGGGCGGTTGGTGGCGGCGCCTCGACTGCCTCGACTGCCTCGCCTGTCTCGCCTGACTCACCTGTCTCCCCTGTCTCTCCTGACTCACCTGTCTCACCTGACTCGCCTGACTCACCTGACTCACCTGTCTCCCCTGTCTCACCTGACTCACCTGACTCACCTGTCTCGCCTGACTCACCTGTCTCGCTTGACTCACCTGACTCACCTGACTCACCTGTCTCTCCTGTCTCGCCTGACTCGCCTGACTCGCCTGACTCACCTGTCTCGCTTGACTCACCTGACTCGCCTGACTCACCTGACTCACCTGACTCGCCTGACTCACCTGACTCACCTGACTCACCTGTCTCTCCTGTCTCGCCTGACTCGCCTGACTCGCCTGACTCACCTGTCTCGCTTGACTCACCTGACTCGCCTGACTCACCTGACTCACCTGACTCGCCTGACTCACCTGTCTCTCCTGTCTCACCTGTCTCTCCTGTCTCACCTGTCTCGCCTGTCTCTCCTGTCTCCCCTGTCTCTCCTGACTCACCTGTCTCTCCTGTCTCTCCTGTCTCTCCTGTCTCACCTGTCTCCCCTGTCTCTCCTGTCTCCCCTGTCTCCCCTGTCTCTCCTGTCTCCCCTGTCTCTCCTGTCTCCCCTGTCTCTCCTGTCTCACCTGTCTCCCCTGTCTCTCCTGTCTCCCCTGTCTCTCCTGTCTCACCTGTCTCCCCTGTCTCTCCTGTCTCTCCTGTCTCTCCTGCCTCACCTGTCTCACCTGTCTCTCCTGTCTCTCCTGTCTCACCTGTCTCCCCTGTCTCTCCTGTCTCACCTGTCTCTCCTGCCTCACCTGTCTCGCCTGTCTCACCTGTCTCCCCTGTCTCTCCTGTCTCCCCTGTCTCTCCTGTCTCCCCTGTCTCTCCTGTCTCCCCTGTCTCTCCTGTCTCTCCTGTCTCACCTGTCTCCCCTGTCTCTCCTGTCTCACCTGTCTCTCCTGTCTCCCCTGTCTCTCCTGTCTCCCCTGTCTCTCCTGTCTCTCCTGTCTCACCTGTCTCCCCTGTCTCTCCTGTCTCTCCTGTCTCCCCTGTCTCTCCTGTCTCCCCTGTCTCTCCTGTCTCACCTGTCTCTCCTGTCTCACCTGTCTCGCCTGTCTCGCCTGACTCACCTGTCTCCCCTGTCTCTCCTGTCTCCCCTGTCTCTCCTGTCTCCCCTGTCTCTCCTGTCTCCCCTGTCTCTCCTGTCTCACCTGTCTCACCTGTCTCTCCTGTCTCACCTGTCTCGCCTGTCTCGCCTGACTCACCTGTCTCCCCTGACTCACCTGTCTCCCCTGTCTCTCCTGTCTCCCCTGTCTCTCCTGTCTCACCTGTCTCGCCTGACTCACCTGTCTCCCCTGACTCACCTGTCTCCCCTGACTCACCTGTCTCCCCTGTCTCACCTGTCTCGCCTGGCTCGCCTGACTCACCTGTCTCCCCTGTCTCTCCTGTCTCCCCTGTCTCTCCTGTCTCCCCTGTCTCTCCTGTCTCACCTGTCTCCCCTGTCTCTCCTGTCTCGCCTGACTCGCCTGACTCACCTGTCTCGCTTGACTCACCTGACTCACCTGTCTCGCTTGACTCACCTGTCTCCCCTGTCTCGCCTGTCTCGCTGGGAGCACCTGGGGAAAATCGTCGGTTTGTTTCGTGACGACGACGACGACGATGTAAACGATCACCGTTAAAACGCAAAAGCGTTCACGGGAAAAAAAAAAGGCTTCGTTTGTTCCTTTGTTCTTTTTGCTTGCAGGAGAAATCGCTGGCGAAGGGAAATAATCCGTACGGGGACATTGAACCGGTAACCTTCACCAACCCCGTGTTCAAGAATGACAAGTCCTCCTCCTCGGATGTTTACTACTAGCCACCCCCCCCCGTTAATCGCATGCCAAGTCAGGCTATCGTATGCAAACACCGTTTTTAATCGCATGCCTAGGCAGGGAACCAAACATTGATTCACCGTGACTGATCCAACCTGGTAACATGTACCGTACTGCATAGTCTCCGATTAACATATTCCATTTGTATGTTGATTAACTCTGACGAATCCAACCGGAGTAACGTGACCCACTGTAATGTATGTGACTACGTGACCCCGCCCCCTTTTCTGATCTTCGCACCTGATAGGCTCACGAGTGATGACATTACCTTCACTCTATTTTTAAGACGGGAAACAGGAGGACATCTTCACAATTCTGGCAAAGTCACCTGATGAAGCCGGTTGCAGTCGCCCTGGCGAAACGTCACTAAGACTCACATTTTAAATGTCGTGGGTTCCTCTCTCCCCAACACACAAACACCAGCAGCACAATCCCGGATACAACGCAAGGAGTGGGCACGTTTTGTTTACGTGACAAAAGCCTTGCTAATTGGCTGAGTCGGGTGGTGGTGGGGCTTGACAATTCTATTCACGCGGTCTAAGCCAAAGGAACTGTTGTTTTGTAGTAGCCACCCCACAGCCCACCCGAATATGTCGAACGTCACCTTCTCGACAATGCTGCCGCGATAAGATGTCACATTGTATGTGTGTGTACGTACGTTGGGACTTCTTTCACACCGTACGTAGCCAACCATGCTAATCGGCGGTACGGAGGGCACAATCAAGTGATGATTACCACGATGTAAGTTTCCATTACTTTTGTCATGGTGTTTTAAACGTTTATATTATTTGCAATAGTGATAATGAGAATTTTGTTTTTTTTTATAGTCAAGTTATTCTTGCAAACCGCGGTCTCACTGATCGCTGCGCAATCCGCAAAGACACGGAGGTGCGTATAGATTGAGGTATTTTGAGCCAAATATTTTGAGTCGGTTTAACACGCAGCAGTCTTTCGTGACCAATATCATTCCGAATAAATGTTCTTGGGTGAGATCGCGTAAGTCTAAATGTGTCGCAACCCTCCACCGCCCGACACAGCCAGTAAGGTTTGTCACGTGAACAACGCGTGCCAATTAGTTTACTGCTTCAGCCCACCGGTGTGTTGGAGAGTAAATCCACAACATTTACAATTTGGCAAAATATTCTGGCAAATCGCCGGATGGTGCTGGATGTAATTACGCCGTACTCAAAAACCTTTATTATTACCGTTCTGAGTGTTTATTAGTATGGCAGCAAACCAGCGCACCTGGTGAAAACTCACGCGGATGCGAGGGTGGTACCTACGCTCTATCCCTTACGCAGATGGGACAGATGGAGATGGCTCCACACTTGCTGTACCGCGTCCCCTCGTGGCAAGCCAGGGTATTATGGATCCTTCATTGTTCTGAAGCGTTGCTCTGCATCTATTCGGAAACGAATATAACTTAAAAGTTATGCAACTGCTTTTCGTCCAACCCAAGCCTGCCGCGAGCGATTTCTTTTTGTTCTTCCTCTGTCGAATTGATTTGTTGTGTACGTCGCACGCGGACGGTCAGCCACGACGCCTGCAGCACACGCACGAGTGGCCGATAAATTCACCACGCGTCAGGGATGTGCGGTAGAATCTTGAATGGAATCGCGAATCCCAACCCCCGCGATTCCCCGAATCGTTTGCTGCAACGTAGCAAGTAGGAAAACGTCTTACAGAGTGGAGATTTTGTCAGTGCGAAGCATGCTCACGAGTTACATTTTGTGTCCATCGACAATGACATTTCGCTTTTACCCAGGTCACGCTTGCAAATGCGATTAAAAGCCGGTCTCTTGAATTTTCATGCGATTAAACGTCATAAATTTGACACCGATTCTGGATCGGTAGAAATTGATCATCATCATGAACTAAATTATTTTTTTATTTTGCCGGGTGAAACCCACTGAGCTACGTAGCTATTTATTCAGAAGCGACCTGGCCTCAAATGGTAGCTCGCTTATCACGTAAAATAATATAGCAGCCAAATAGTCTAAACGCACGTTTATAAAATGTGGAGGGAATAACCACGTGCTCACGGGGAGAGAGACACTCAAACTTCAAATATACAGCGGGCGTTAGGGTCGGGTTCGAACCCACGATCTCCTGTATACCAGGCGAGGTAGTTAACATCTCCTAGCCACCGTGATGATGATCGAGAGAGAGAGAGAGACACGCAAACTCCAAATATAGAGTAGGCATTGTCAAGGTCGGGATCGAACCCACGAACTCCTGTACAGCAGGCGAGGTAGTTAACATCTCAGTCACCGTGGCCACACCCAACATGAGTTCAGAGTCATGCATGCTCACGATGGTTCAGCCGGTCGCGCAGCGGGTGATTAGCGAAACGCGACACGAACCCAGCAACCCAATTTCGATTGCCCCCTTGGTCACGGCCACAGTGAGTGGCGAGTGATATTGCTGTTGGCCGTTCCCGGACACCCTACGTCCCATCGCCATCCTGCACTGACCAGCGTGGTGAAGTATGGTCCAGCAAACCCAATGATAACTATCATCGTGACGATTCCATGTAGATGCTTTTCAAGTAATAAAAGTTGCATGGCTTGTGAGCGTCTTTTGCCCTCCCATATCACAATCAGAACATGTATGCTGGAGGAATCCGATGAGCAAATAAATGCTCTTTCTTCACAGATGTCGAGATATAAAACCGGCCAAATTTGATCAAAACATATTTGGAGGCAAAACCGGCGTTAAAAGTGTTCGACCTTGC